GCGGTACAGCCCTAGAAGACGAAGGCAAATAAATGCCTTTGGAACAAACCCACAAATCTCTGATGATCAAGTAAAACCTGACCATCAGTTTCCTTCATCTGGTCAAGCTTCCTCTTCATGTTTGTAGCATAGTCATGTGCGAGCCGGTGCAACTGTTTATTCTCATGCTTGAGCCCTCTAATCTCCTGTTTGAGACTCATCACTTCAGCCGCCAATGATTCAACTTGGCGGGTTCGAGCAAATAGGCGTTGGGCCATATTAGACACAGAACCTGCACACTGAACACTGAGAGCCAGCGAATCCTTAACAGCTAACTCATCAGACCGTTTGGAAAGTAGTCTGTTATCTTTGGGAGTGAGAAGGTTCCTGGCCACCACCGCAGCGGTCATATCATTCTTCATCACGGAATCCCCAACGGTAAGAGGACCAGTAGGGGAGACGAAGGATGGGCGCCATATGTTGTCTGGAGAAGGCGGGGCTGCCTCTTCAACAAGGTTCAAGTCAAAACGACGGTCGGAGGGGCCAGACATTTTCAAAGGTGTTGAAGAGAGAAGAGGTCGGACAAATCAAGATCTTAGAAGTGCAAGAATGAAGCTTCTACTGGTGGAGATTCAAGTGTGCTTTGGAACTTAATGCCAGCCCCTATAAAAATCTGCACTCGACGAAGCTTCAGAAATCGAAGAGGCGCCTGCTCAGAAATCGAAGAGGCGTTTGCTTTCTCAAAAAGCTGGGCTGCTTAGAGATCACGAGGGTTGATCTCAGAAATCGAAAGAGGCGTTTGCTTTCTCAAAAGTTGGGCTGCTCAAAGACCACAAAAGGCCGATCTCTCAAAAATCGAAGAGGCGCTCGCTTTCTCAAAAGCTGGGCTCCCCAGAGACCACGAGGGCCGATCTCAGAAATCGAAGAGGCACCTACTTTTCCAGCCTTTTCCAGCCTTGTCAGCACCTGTCACACGCACACTCAGTTTTGCGGAAATTATGGGCATTCTGTCAAAGACTTCTGGGGAAGTAGAAAACACATGAATCTTACTGTTCAATCACCCACTTCCCACACGCAACAATAGCTCATGGGTACCACAGATAACTTTGCCAAAGTTCTCTGCCAAAGTTGAGCACGTGAAGCTTGCAGCTCCCACTACATCGCTCTGACCAAAAGAAGGGTAAAAGAATAGCAAAGAAACAGCACTAACAAAGTTTAGACCCATAAATTTTGAAGGTCTAACTACCATATTTATTACCACCCACAAGGGTAAAGGAACAGTACCACTGCTGGATAATTGGAAAGTCCCTGTGTGTCAACCTCTGTGCTTCGTGGCAAGGTAGACTAGCAAACATGCCCAACCTTTACTCACATTCGAGAAAACACTCCCAATAAGATTGCTTGCTCCAAAATCGAAGAGGCACCGTCCTCCGAATCTCGAGAGCCAGACTCCCAACATGACTACTTTCTTAAAAATCGAAGAGAGGGTAAAGGAACAGTACCATTGCTGGATAATTGGAAAGTCCCTGTGTGTCAACCTCTGTGCTTCGTGACAAGGTAGACTAGCAAACATGCCCAACCTTTACTCACATTCGAGAAAACACTCCCAACAAGATTGCTTACTCCAAAATCGAAGAGGCACCGCCCTCCGAATCTCGAGAGCCAGACTCCCAACATGATTACTTTCTAAAAAATCGAAGAGACACTGCTCCCCGAATCTCGAGAGCCAGACCCCCAGCATGATTGCTTTCTCAAAAATCGATGAGGCATCGTTCTCTGAATCAATCGAAGAGGCGCTCGCTTTCTCAAGAGCTGGGCTGCTCAGAGACCACGAGGGCCGATCTCAGAAATCGAAGAGGCACCTACTTTTCTAGCCTTGTCAGCACCTGTCACACGCACACTCAGCTTTGCAGAAATTATGGGCATTCTGTCGAAGACTTCTGGTGAAGTAGAAAGCACATGAATCTTACTGTTCAATCACCCACTTCCCACACGCAACAATAACTCATGGGTACCACAAATAACTTTGCCAAAGTTCTCTGCCAAAGTTGAGCACGTGAAGCTTGCAGCTCCCACTACATCGCTCTGACCAAGAAAGGTAAAAGAATAGCAAAGAAACAGCACTAACAAAAGTTTAGACACATAAATTTTGAAGGTCTAGCTACCATATTATTACCCACAACTGTAAAGGAACAGTACCACTGCTGGATAATTGGAAAAGTCCCTGTGTGTCAACCTCTGTGCTTCGTGGCAAGGTAGACTAGCAAAACATGCCCAACCTTTACTCACATTCGAGAAAACACTCCCAATAAGATTGCTTGCTCCAAAATCGAAGAGGCACCGTCCTCCGAATCTCGAAAGCCAGACTCCCAACATGACTACTTTCTCAAAATCGAAGAGAGGGTAAAGGAACAGTACCATTGCTGGATAATTGGAAAGTCCCTGTGTGTCAACCTTTGTGCTTCGTGGCAAGGTAGACTAGCAAACATGCCCAACCTTTACTCACATTCGAGACAACACTCCCAACAAGATTGCTTGCTCCAAAATCGAAGAGGCACCGCCCTCCGAATCTCGAGAGCCAGACTCCCAACATGATTACTTCCTCAAAAATCGAAGAGACACTGCTCTCCGAATCTCGAGAGTCATACCCCCCAGCATGATTGCTTTCTCAAAAATCGAAGAGGCATCGTTCTCCGAATCTCGAGAGCCAGATACCACAGACCACTTTTTCAAAGTGCTCTGACAGAGTTAAAACATGTGAAACTGGCAGCTCCCACTACCGTGCTATGACCAAGCAGGGTAAAGGAATAGCATTACTATTTGTTGTTAGGGAGACTCCTATATATGTCGACCTCCATCCCCAACGGACAGGCAGACCTGCAAAAATGCTCAACCCTTCATCATATCTGAGAGGGCACTCCCAACGAAGCCTTTCGAAATATTCAGCTTTTCTTTCCCCCCGATAATACCTCTGCAAACAAGCTATACTAGAGCAAGAATATCTCATATCATCAGGGTTAAAAGCAAGAGTATCCCATATCATGCTTTTTCCCTGTCTTTTCTTTTGGCCTTGTTTTTACCTGCAAGACAAGGAGAAAAAGAGCAATCAGTCAGCACTTGGAATCAAGCTTCCAGCCAGGAACTGACTGCCTGGAACCTCTTACCTGATTACTTACCTGGCATTGCTCTCGAGTACTCATCTTCAACATCTTATGTTTCCAGGGAAGATTCCGCATCTGCTTGAGGAACAGATAGGGCAAGTGCGAAGGATACAAGGAAGCATGTGGAGACAAGCGTAACAGCACACGTGCCGATACATTCATTACTCTGTCAAAAGCAAAAGTATCCCATATCAGCAGGGTGGAACGTACTCTAGATTTGATGGACTTGTTTTGACCCTCAAATTCTTCAGTCGGCCTTATACTCTGGAGGAAACCAGAAAACCCTCCAGCTCAGTTCAAGAATAAGCCTGTGGAAAGTTACTTCTTCAAAAGCAAAAGTATCTCATATCATCTCTTCTCATTTTTCTTCTCTTTATCTTTCATGCTGCTGCAAGATGGGGAGAAGGTGAACAATCAGTCGGAGCTCTGATTGCTTACCTTGTCTGTCACCTCTTTCAGCAGACCCCCTAGCTCGGCGACTTGGGGGACTCCTACTACATGGTTTGTATTGCGCTTGACCAAGCCTGAAACTACAAGTAAGCTTCAAGTGAAATTGATACATTACTTTGTGCATCTCCACCAGTTAAAGATACCACCCCTGGATGGAGGAAGAGTACTTCCAGAGAAGATGCCACATCTACCTATGAGACAGATAAGGCAAGTCAAGATGACACCACACTCCGATACTTAGAAGTTTCGTGATTACGAGATCATTCTCCCACAATATTTCCTAATGTCATTTGTACTAAATCATTCACTTGTACTCACTAAATGAGAGCTTGAACCTATGTACTTGTGTAAACCCTTCACAATTAATGAGAACTCTTCTATTCCGTGGACGTAGCCAATCTGGGTGAACCACGTACATCTTGTGTTTGCTTTCCTATCTCTATCCATTTATATACTTATCCACACTAATGACCGGAGCAATCTAGCGAAGATCACAAAAAGCGATCGTTTTCGCTACCTAGGATCTATCTTGCAAGAGAACGGAGAATTAGATGGAGATCTCAACCATAGAATACGAGCTGGATGGAAAGAGTGCATCCGGCGTGTTGTGTGACCGTCGTAGGCCACTGAAGCTCAAGGGAAAATTTTATAGGACGACAATAAGGCTAGCGATGTTGTATGGCACAGAATGTTGGGTGGTGAAGCATCAACACGTACACAAAATGGGTGTAGCGGAGATGAGGATGCTTCGTGGGATGTGTGGGCACACGAGAAAGGATAAGATTGGGAATGAGGATATCCGAGGTAAAGTAGGAGTAGCCGAAATTGTAGGAAATATGAGAGAAAATCAGCTCCGGTGATTTTGAACATGTGCAAAGAAGGCCGACTGACGCTCCGGTTCGAAGATGTGACTATGGGACAGAGGTTCAGGGCCGAAGGGGTAGAGGAAGACCTAGGACAACTTTGGAAGAGACTCTAAGAAAAGACTTAGAGTACTTGGATCTAACGGAGGACATGACACAAAACCGAGCGCAATGGCGTTCTAGGATTCATATAGCCGACCCCACTTAGTGGGAAAAGACTTTGTTGTTGTTGTTGTTATGTTAGAAATCTAATGTTTTATAGCAAGCAAAAGTTTTGTAACTCAAATTTGAAGAATTGTGTTGACTCTTGATGCTGATGAATCACATAATAATGGTTACAGGAGACTAAAATGTTTTGTGAATCTTTTCAGCTCCCGAAATAATAGACTATTGTGATGAAACTAATAATGGATTTTATATTAAAAAGAAAAAAAGTTTGAAGAATGGGGGGATTCAAGTAGCATAGTTTTGATACCCCAATCGCCCCTATGGACTAAATTTCTAGCATATGCTAATTTAATTCATTTTTAACTAGATATTTGTTAAACTCTCTCAAAAACCCCTAAAGTCAAAAACCGAACCCAACCCCCATCTTCCAAAACAGACTTGCACGGCCTTGCTTTATTCAAACAATGGCGTCTCTCGCAGCCACCGGCTTCCACAAAGCCCCAACGCTTTCTTCCAAAATCCCACCCAATTCTCACCGATGCCCACCATTTACGTGTTTGAAACGGCACTGTTTCACCGCTAAAACGCCCATCTTTCTGAAAACCGCCATTAGAGCTTCGAACCCAAGCGCCGCCGCCGAGTCCTCTTCTCCGGGACTCTACTCCGCCAAGCAGTACGAACTCACGGTTCCCAACGTCGACTTGGTTCTCGAGGACGTCCGCCCTTATCTCATCTCCGATGGCGGTAACGTCGACGTTGTCTCCGTTGAGGACGGCGTCGTTTCGCTCAAGCTTCAAGGTGGATTTGATTCAAGTCTGTATTTTTTCACCATGAATTTTTTTGGGAAATTGAAACCATTGTATAAACAAGTCACTAGGTAATTGAAAATTCATTAAATTTGGTTCAATCAAGTTCGCTAGAGCGGTGTGCTACCACTAGTTTGAATTCTCGTTTATGTAGTTTAGATGAATTCAGTGTAATTATCGTATCGTTGTACACTAAAGTGAATTTGATAAAATTAATGAATGAACAGGGGCATGTGGGAGCTGTCCGAGCTCAACGACCACCATGAAGATGGGAATCGAAAGGGTGCTCAAGGAAAAGTTTGGAGACGCACTCAAGGATATTCAACAAGTCTTTGATGAAGAAAATAAAGAGATCACCGTTGAGGTCAGTGTTTCCTGACTCGATTTTAATGGATTGCATACTCTTAATTTGTCAGGGTGTATGTTTGAAAGTGCTTCCTTAGGAAGGACTTCTGCTAGAAGCACGTCTAAAGTCCTTTTCCGGAAGTGTTTAGTGAAGTAGTGGGTTTTAGAGACATTGAGAGCGAGAGACTCTGTGAGATTAGAGCTAGCTATGGGGATGAAGGGAAGCAATTATGGGTCAATCTGTTGGCCCTAATGATCTTGTCCATTACTCACTTATCGATGCCACACCTTTCGAAAATTGTCCTTCATGATCCCTCAAAACACAACTCATGTTCGGGAAGATGTCCGAAAAACTGCATCATGACAAGGTGATGTTAGAAAGGCTTGCCCTTCGAAATTCAAGATTATGCATGAAGGTCCAAAATCACTCAATAAGTGTTCACTTGCCTGCATTAAGGCCATACCAAATCTATTATGCATCTGCTTTTATTGCCGAAAAGAACGTGAAGCGCCAATTGGACTCCTCCTGCTACAAGATGAGCAGCTCCAGAATAAAAATCAATAATTAGATGTTCATATTTCAATTTTGCCATTATCTGAAAGAGGTTTTAGAACTGCCAAGCAGGCCCATGGTGTTTGATGGTTTGTTAAAATTGCAAATGCAGGTAGTGAATCGTCACCTGGACATATTCCAGCCATAAAGAACTTTGGTGGGAGTGTGGAAGTGTTATCGGTTGAAGGTGGGGATTGCCATGTAAATTATGTAGGGCCTGAGTCCATCGGATCAGGAATCAAAGCAGCGATTAAGGAGAAGTTCCCAGATATCGTCAATGTTGTATTCACTGGATAGCTTTGACTCCCATGGAGATGTCTTCCGACGTATAATTGTATTCAAAATGGTTAGCCGCTGGCTTCATCAACTTCCAATTTGTGTATCTTGTTGAATAAATGATTTATTATCGTTACTTGTACAATGAATTTTGTGTAATTAGGCGTTGGTACGTGATGAATTCCAGCTTTGTTCTCTGTTGTAAACACTTCTGAGGGGGAATTCGATTAACTTCTGCATATTCAGTAGAAAAATGAAAGAAAACATTTGCAGAATATCCCACAGTTATGTCACGAACGAAGAATAATTGAAAGCAAACTATGAGTATGACAATGTATGTTGTAGTGGACTATTCGGATTCAAAATGGTGCATAGAAGTCTAAAAGGAAAAGGTTTTGAATTGTTCTAGACGTTATAGGACTGAAACACGGTTTCCATCCTAGTTTATGCACCCATTGTTGGATAAGGATTTCTTGTCAGTGTTCCACTTGGATTCTAATAGAAGAGACGAGTGGATTGAATGTGTATATATAGTAGGTCTTTGCTATCGCAAAACGACCGTTTTGAGTTTGGAATAAGACCTATTATTAGTGCAATGCAAGCATTAAGGTTTTGTAAGAGAGGAGAAGGTTCACTATAGAATATTGGTGGCTTCATCATCTTAGGTCTCTACGAGGAAAGATGCACTATTTTGACGCCTTTTATATAACTTGTTTTCGATTGCTTTTACAAGTCAGTTTGGTTCTTGTGTTTATTAAATTTTAGTTTTGATACTTGTATGATTTGTGGTTCATGAGCTTAATCTGCTAACTTATGTTTTCGATAAATTAAGTCTTACACAACAAACCCTAGTTTGCAGAAACTCAAGTTCATTAAGGGCGTGTTTGTTTGGCTTCATTAGCCTTCACTGAACCAGATTAGACTAAGGCTGGGCATGGGCTAGGCCCGGCCCAATTTTGATGGGACTAGATCAGACCCAGGTTTAAAAGAAATGGGCCGGGCTGGGGCGGGTACAACAAATTTTAATACATGAACTGGATCTAATCCAGCCCGTTTTAAATGGGCCGGGTCCACGAGGCCTTTTTTTTTTGGGAAAAAAAAAACTAAAATTTTACAGCTGCACAGGTGTTTGCAGGAATCGCAACCTTCTCCTAATTCTCTTTGAGGTGAATACATGTTTCATAACCTGCCAATTTGCATGAAACGCTCAACTGATCTAATTTGTATGAAACATTCAAATCCAGTTTACATATTCTAATTAAAAATACCCAACAGAATATTCAAATTCAATTTTAAACAAAAGATTTGAAATTGGAACAGAATAAAAGTCAAGATTCAAACAACAACAACAACAACAAAGCCTTTTCCCACTAAGTGGGGTCAGCTATGTGAATCCTAGAACGCCATTGTGCTCGATTTTGTGTCATGTCCTCCGTTAGATCTAAGTACTCTAAGTCTTTTCTTAGGGTCTCTTCCAAAGTTTTCCTAGGTCTTCATCTACCCATTCGGCCCTGAACCTTTGTCCCGTAGTCACATCTTCGAACTGGAGCGTCAGTATGCCTTCTTTGCACATGTCCAACCCACTCATTCCTAATCTTATCCTTTCTCGTGAGACCACACCTCCAACGAAGCATCCTCATCTCCGCTGCCCATTTGGTGTACGTGTTGATGCTTTACCGCCCAACATTCTGTGCCATACAGCATTGCTGACCTTATTGCCGTCCTATAAAATTTTCCCTTGAGCTTCAGTGGCATACGACGGTCACACAACACGCCGGATGCATTTTTCCACTTCATTCATCCCACTTGTATTCCATATATTCTGTCTTTGATCGGCTTAGGCGAAGACCTTTAGATTCCAACACTTCTCTCCAAAGGTTAAGCTTCGCATTTACCCCTTCCTGAGTTTCATCTATCAACCCTATTTCGTCCGCGTAAAGCATACACCGAGGAATAACATCTTGAATATGTCTTGTTAACTCATCCATTACCAATGCAAAAAGGTAAGGACTTAAGGATTGTTGCTGCACAAAATCAGTGAGGACTTTGGTACAACAGAAAGTATTAAGTTTGTAACATTCGCTAGATTGCTCCGATCATTAGTGTGGATAAGTATGTAAAATGATAGAGATAGGAGAGCAAACGCAAGATGTACGTGGTTCACCCAGATTGGCTACGTCCACGAAGTAGAGGAGTTCTCATTAATTGTGAAGGGTTTACACAAGTACATAGGTTCAAGCTCTCCTTTAATGGGTACAAGTGAATGATTTAGTACAAATGACATTAGGAAATATTTTGGGAGAATGATCTCCTTTTATAGAAGAGAGTTTCTAGCCTTGTTCTGACATTGACACGTGTCGTGTTGTGATTGGCTTCTGATGTTAACACGTGTCGCTCTGTGATTGGCCTCCTGGTTGGAGAGGAAGCTCCTCGGTTGGGGACTTGCAAGATCCAAGATGTTGAGTAATTACGAAACTTTTAAGTACCGAAGTGTGGTATCGTCTTCACTTGCCACATTAATGAAACCATAATTTAATTTTCAATCCTAAATCCCTAAAACATAATACCTTGAAACTGAAAAAGACCATCAGCAGAGCTTGGCTTCCATGCAAATTTGACTTAGATAGAGGAGATGACTGATTCGTCGTTTCGAGGTGTTCGACTTCATTGTTCGTCCCCTTGAGTTCGACAGAGAGACTGACTTCGTCGTCCGTCCCTTAAAGTTCGACAAAGAGAGAGGGACTGAGAATCAAGAGGGATAAGAGTCCGTCTGAACTCTAGGAGAGAGATCGAGAGGGATGACTGAGGATAAGAGTTTCATATACGGTTCGGGTCGGGGGCCCGTGTCTTAGAAAATTGGATTTGTCCCACCCCTCTGTTTGCTTGGACTTGCCCCGCCTCGCCCTGTTTTGTATATAAAATAATATGGACCCAACCCAAACAGCTAGTACCCGCTCTTACCTGCGGGCCCAGAGCCCGGTTGCCCAGTCCTAAACTAGACAAAAAGTTAGTCTAATCCCATGTTTGTTACATGCAAGTACTAACTTTAATGAGATTAAAAGGGACTTGTTCTGACTAACTACATCACTAGCCGGTCTTAGCGATAGTCCTCAAAGAGCAGCGAATTACTAAGACCGTTTGCTTCTCTTCGCATCTGCTTCGCTTCGCCTCTCACTTGTCTCATATGCTTTGCATTGCCTCACGTTAGACTCGTTTCATCAACTTCGCACCGTCCTCGTAGCCGTCCAACAAATAGACGATGGACGATGGACTTCCATCGCTGCCAATGGTTTCCATTGATATCCTCTGCAACCACATCTTCTTGTTCAAAAAGGTAGACAAAAAGATTTGGATTTCGTCTTGATTTGGATTTCGATATCGTTTTGATTTGGGCTTGGTTTTTTTAAGTAATTTCATTCATATATCGATTCTAAGAAACCTCTTTCAAGATTTTTTCCCAAATTACCGTTCCTAGCAAAATCGACTTGAAATTCCAATTTTAGAGATCGTTTGCAAATGGCTACTCGGAGTCTCCAAGTGCTGTTAAAAAAGCGAGACTTTTGGATCTCTTACAAAAAACTGCCATTAATTCTCAATGATTAATTGGGATTTTAAGCTCTTTTGATCAGTTTTAGTTTTTTGAGTTTCCTGTTTCTTTACCAATGGTGTTTTATTTTTCTGGGTTTTCCATATTGTGAAATGATTGTTCATCTAAGAGCTACTGGTGATGCTCCTATATGCAAGCCACAAATTCAAGGTGTGCCTTTTGTGGTTGCAGACTTACAATAGTGTTTATGGATGTTGGAATTGTATTACACTTTATTTTATCATGGTTTATGTGAAGATTGGTATATGAGCATTCATGGGTTTCGATGATCATATGCTCATAAGTTGCATAATGTTTAAAAGGTTATCTTTTTTGTTTGGCTTTATAGTCAAAATTGTTCCAGAGATTTGCATAACACATACTTTGGTATCTGAGATTGAAAATCAGTAGAAATGGTCCCTGAGATTGTCCACCATCCATTATTTTGGTCATTTCGTTAAAAACTCCGTTAAGTGTCTCAGAGCTTTTGGTCGAAAGTTTGGGCAATTTTCAAAACTTCGTAACTCAATCGTTTCTTAACCAAGTTCGACCCATAATATATCAAAATGAAGATAGAAAAGTATAAAATAAGATTATACCTATTCGGAAGCCCAATGGTTGCTGGAGATGGCCGGAAAATAGCTTAAAAGGTGACTGGTCCGTAGGAAAACTGGAAAACTCGCATGGGTAAACTTTAAATGTTCATAACTTCTTCAATACTCAACGAAATCGAGTGATTCAAAAATAAAAATCATACTTCTCGACGAGACGAAAAGAATGGTACCTTTGTTTATGGCTAAATCTCTGTGGTTTGATCATAAAATGGCTCGAAAGTGGCTGTCATGGTCTTGAGCTACCCACTTTCGAGCCGTTTTCCATCCAAAGGATGGCGAATTAGCCATTGAGAAATACCATTCTCTTCATCTCATCAATAAGTATGATTTTTGTTTTTGAATCACTCAATTTCGTTGAGCATTGAAGAAGTTATGAACGTTTAAAGTTTATGGAGAGTTTTCCAGTTTTCCCGTCTAGTCACCTTTCAAACTATTTTCCGGCCATCTCCGGCAACCATTGTGCTTCTAAATAGGTATAATATTGTTCTACACATTCTTATCTTTATTTTGATATATTATGGGTTGAATTTGGTTAAGAAAGAATTGAGTTATGAAGCTTTGAAAATTGCCCAAACTTCCGGCCAAGAGCTCCGGGACACTTAACGAAGTTTTTAACAGAATGACTAAAATAATGGATGGTGGACAATCTCAGGGAACATTTCTATTGATTTTCAATCTCAGGGACCAAAATAATGTATTATGCAAATCTTAGAGACTATTTTAGCTATAAAGCCTTTTTGTTTTTTATCTTAATTTGTTGATTATTTTCTTAAAGCTGCAAAGTAGAGAGGTTGTCTCATTATCCAGCTTGTCAAATTGGACTTAGAGTTGCAGTGCTTGTTGGCTCCTAATGCTTGCCAAACATTTAGAATCCCAGATTTTTTAAGGACCTTTGGTTGTACCTCTATTCAAGGCTCTTGTAAAAGGCAAGCTGAAAATTGTCTGTATCCAAATGAATGTTTTAGTTTCTTTTCTTATATCTTATGTAAATTTGTTTTTCAGTTCTGTTTGTAATAAATGTTTTAGGGTGTTCGTGTCGATTTCAGTTTCTTGCGTCTCTTCTG